TTCTCTTCGTTTCTTTTCAACCACCCACCATTGGGTGCAAGACCCCTTCCTCAATGACCAGTAAGTGGCTGAGAGCACAATTCCCAAGTCCTATGAGACACAATCTCTTCCTGTACCCAGGGGCATCACTGCTCATTCAACCTGGAGCGCTGCGATGTTGACAACATGGGCCACAAGCGCCAATAGCGAAAATTTACAAGGTGACAACATGGGCCTCACCATCGCCTTTTATTTAGAAACTGTTAGAATGATGTCTTCGCCTCTACGGAGGCTGCCTTTGACAGGAAAGTGTTACAAAGGGTCCATAGGGACCAAGAAAAGGGGAATCCAAACCAGACGGAAGTCCTCCCGTAGGACACGCCAAGCTTTGGTATGTCCCAAACAATGGATGCTCTGAACAGCTCATCTGGAGAAGGGGCGTTGGTACTTACCTGCCACGCCCTTTCTCTGTGAGTTGTGAAGAGCATCCATCCCCACCCTTATTCATCTGGTGGGATGCTATTCCGGCCAAGTATTAGAAAGGGTGAAGGAGAAGAAATATTTCATCACTTCGACTTCGCCAAAACTGGGGACGCTAGGGAGGAGTCCTGTGGAGGAGGAGGAGCGTCCTGTCAATTAAAGCCCAGCCTATCAAATGAGAGACAGAAGCATCATTCCAAACAATGGATGCTCTTCACAGCTCACAGGGAAAGGGCGTGTCAGGTAAGTACCAACGCCCCTTTTCTTTGCTCCCCCCGCCCCCGATGCCTAGCAATTCAAAATTACAGCATGAATAATCCCCAGCAATGAAATAAGCAATTTAGGCCAGACAGAAGCAGTCCCACGGCTGTGAAACCAAGAATGTGAATATAAATGTTCCTCAACCATCTGAAGTCAATTTATATTTGAAGATATGTCACTATGCCTCTTGAATCCAACTGTCACAAAAGTTTAAAATATAAGAGTATCACAAATGTAGAAGCAAGATATCTATTGGTAGAGCGAAGACAAGCTGACCTTTCTTTCAGAACAAAAGGAGGAAAAAAAAGTTATGTGAGAGTTAGAGGAGTTGAATTTGGGGGTTAATTCAGTTAATTTTTCAGAGGATGTTACTAAGAAGAACGGGCTTCTTTATGGGCTGACTGGAAATGCTACAATGCTTTTGTGCTGGTTGTTTTTTTATTTATTTCTTTTCCTCATTTTGATTACAGTTAATCTCAGATGCTTGGAACTGCATAGTAAGCAACTGAGTTTAGAGGAGATTCTTGTTTTATTTCTTGGGTGTTTTATTGAGTGTCTGTATGTGTATTATGCCTTAGAGAAAAGCTTTGGCAGTTCATTCTGTTTTTCTTTGTATGTATTTTGGCTGGTGTGTATTCTGTCTGTTTATTTATTTAAAAAGGTATTAGTATAATTAATAATGCATTTCCTTTGAATCACTCTCAGGGTTCCCACTTGTATAATAGTAAGTCATTGTTTGGGTCATTTTCTCTTGTAAGTTTTATTTCGACTATCACAACATAGTTGTTGGGTTTTTTTGGTATTTAGCAGTCAGTGCAATATTGGTCCTAGTGATGGGAAATCTAACCAGATATAGAACAGTACCCTTTTCTTGGTTTGTATGCAAATTATTAACTGGTACGTTTAAGGTTTGCTTAAAAAAAAAAAAAACTATGGACAGCAATACTCCACGCAGTAAAAGACTTGAGCGATTAATGCTACCCTTATGCCTCTTTCGAGTAGTCGTAGCCATGGGGCTTGGCACTGGAACTGTTGTCTTTGTGCCAACAAATATCCGCAGCGGCTGCCGCATTCTGGTACTAGAAGGTTGTCTCGAAAATTCCGCAGTGAATGTGTCGAGTTTCTACATTGTTGTCGATTCTTTAAAAACCGAACCCTCATGCACAACCCCTTTAAGAAATCACAATTTATAGCATCCTAGCCCACAAATGCACATTTAGAATTGCTGCCTTCTTGTAATACCTGAGAACGATGGACACAGCAAAGTAAGTATAAATATTCCAAGCGAGCTCGGGGTTTTTTTTTGTGTGTGTGTGTTAAATTTATGCACACAGACAGTTATTTAGAGAGCCCCCGCCAAATTTTATTATGTGAAACAAATATGCTAGTGAGGTTTAAGCAGAAAATCAACATAAAGAATGTAGCTGATTTTTAAATGATTTTTCCCCCTCCATGAATTAAATGACATCTACCCCAAAAAAGTCAGCTTATTTCACAATGACAATTGATAGTGCATCTATACGAATGCTGTACACACACATCCTCCCGCGTCCCTAAAGAGTTTCATGTAAATTTGATTATTCTGTTCTTAACTGGAAGGAAAGACAAGTTCCTGGTTGGATTGGGGTACAAAAATAAAGTTAAAGGCTTACACTCTCAGGATGAAATATGCTCATTCCTGATCTCCAAAGCTATCTGTCTGGTGGTAAAAATGGATGCTACAGATGAAATCTTTACAAGGAGCATAATCCTTAGAAAAAAAGAAGAAGTCAATCTCCTGCTGCTTTCTGTGTCTCTTTGGTACCTCACAAGCTTCGACAGAGTCCTGGACGAGTGCCCATTGATGTCATGGAAACATTCAAATTACTGAGAATGATTCATGTCTGTGCTGTTCTCTTATCCTCCCCCACAGAAATAGAAGTAGATTTTTAACCCTGACAACTTGTAATTTGCAGTGTGTTTTATTTTTGCATCTAGATAAATATTTTTTAACCACTGAAATTAAAATGAGACAGTTTGTATCTGATACGATAGTAAGGAGGAGGAGGAGGAGGAGGACAGGTACTCACATAGTAAATGAAATTCATTTGCCTGGTTCTTTATTCAGTAGGTTGGGTTTGTTAGCTTTATTCACCCATCTCCTCATTAAAATGTATTTTTGCCTGGTTGAGTTTGAGGAAACTCACCTTGTAGGTGTAAGTTGAAGTAAAACCTGTACTATTCCTTTCCTGTTTAGGATATTTTTTTCTTGTTTCCTGTTTCATCAATTGTTTATAGACATCTTCCCCCCGTCACATTAACTCATAATGCACAAAATCTCAAGTGAATTCAGTATTTCTACTTTCCTATCTGTAGTTTTCATCACGGTTAGGAAAAGATCCTTTCTATGAAATCACAAAAAAAATGGGTCACATTTTATATCCTTGGGCATGTAGATAAATTCAACTTGTAGTATTTTGTTTTGTGTTCTGTTATGACAAGACAACTTTAAAAGCATGTGGAATTACCTTTTTTTTTAGCTAAATTCAAAATGACTAGTCAAATAGAAGTAGAGTTATAATTTTATATTAATGTTATTGATGTAGATTTTCAGGGGAATGTATATAGGAGATTTACTCCCATCTTTTTAACAGAGTAAAACTGAAAGAAAGTAGAATTTCATATAATATTGTAGATCTATAGATGCCAATTTGAAATCATATGCAATTTACACAGTATAGAACCTTATAGAATGAATTCACTTCATAGTCATTATTTTAATTGAATCCCAACTTCATTGGGTAAAACCTTAAATAAAATCTTATGTGCGTTTAATTAAATATTTTTTTTTCAAAAAAATTAATTTGACACTTTAAGAAACAACAGTTTAGTTTATTAAATTATTGTTCTGTATTAAATTAAAATGTTGATCTTTTTTCTTACACCTTGTATTTCAATAATAGCCAGACTGAGTATAATATTCTGTAATAAAATAATATCCTTTAAAGTAAAGATGGTTTTGCAAAGTATGTGATAGTAATTAAATGATTCATTTACAGGGGTAATGTACTGTACTATATGTAGCTAGTTATTGCAATTTATTATATGCTTGATTGCAGAAACAACCAGAACTTTGCATTATATTAGATCTGGGCACCCAAGGGTCATTACTGTTGTCCACCAAAAGTTATGGAGGGGGTATACATTGTTTTGGATATCCAATAACAATTATTTCATTTTCATCAGATTCACAATGTCCGTATCCAACTAAATCATGTGCTATTGACATTTTAAAGAAACCTTTAAGAGCATGCAGGAAAATCAAAGAAAAATACCAGAATTGGCATGAAATATCACAGCCTATTTGTGTCTCCTACAATTCTGAGAAAGTTGAAACATTGTTAGAGAGTGATATATTTTAATATAAAATACTCTTTCTGGAGCGTAGCTGCAGAGATCAAGTCATTCAATAGGGAATTCAACTAGGAAAGAGTGAAAAATCAGACCTGTGAGGGGTTTCTTTGCTAAATTTACCATCTGGAGTTTTTGATTTATTACCTCTGACCCCACTGGTGACTGCAAGTGTAATCAGTGAGAATTATTATGGTCAGGTCACGACATGGATAACCTTACTGCTGTGCTCATAAAAATAAATTCACACAGTTTTTAGGGGTAAGAAAGAAAAGGAAAAGAGAGATTCTGTTTCCTCCTTTAAAAATGATTGCCTCACATATATTATTCTGGAGATTTGAATGGCATTTCCAATTAGAAATGTAATCATAGCAAGCAGTGAAGATATTTTAAAGCAAAGTCCATTAGAAGTTCTATGTCACAGGTCTACCGAAGAATAATGGTCAAGAACAGTACGCCATTGGAGTTCACAAAAGGACTAGAAGGCCAGGTTGAGCAAAATAAATGGAGGTCTATCGTGGGTTGCCCCTTATTTTCGTTTTGAGGTATAAGCAGCCATGAACTTTTCTCCTAGTTACCATCCTTAATATTGGGAAGATTTCACCAATTGCATGTCATGAGCAGAAGCATAAAGTTCCTGAGTTTCAAAACAGGGTAGAAGCTCATCATCTGAGGAAATTCTGATTGTCTTCTGTGGTTAGAAAATTATGATATTGAGATGAGGAACATGTGCCATTCTGTGGTGATGTGGATTCAAAATATATTTACCAAGACCAAAGACGGTAGCAATGTAATTACTATTAAAATGGCTTAAAGATGAGAGGCTTTTTATAAAATAGATTAAGGATACTGTCTTATCAGATAATACTTCTCTCTCTCCTCTGAAACAGGTAAAACAGAAAGAAGCTCTTATTCATCATATGGACGAGACTCAAATCTTCAAGGTTGCCATCAGGTAAGAATCAGTTGATGATATGAAGTAATAGGTGATCCCATTTTTATGTACTATCCATCTTTCTGACATATATCGTGTCTTTTCAAAGAATCTTCAAGGATAATTCAATAGTGTTTGAAACATTAAATTGTTTTTCTCTTACTTTCTGGATTTCTGTTGATTTCTAGGTTGATATTCTGGTGTACTCTTGGTGAACTGTTTATCAGTCTCATTCAAAAGATTACACTGTTGTTGCCCAATGACAATTCCTGGACAATGAATAGTTCAACTTAAGACATTGTCAGGGTTTGCAGAAGGCAGCAGTGGAGATTTTTAAGCCATGCTGCCTTTGGATGGCTATAACAATAAATTATAATTTCCATAGAGTCTGTAGGATGTTGTGTGAAAACAGGGTTCTATTGAGAGATAAAAATGTCTGTGAAAATATGATTTGTTGTCTCTTTTTGTTTCTGAATTGTTTTTGGCTGGAAGTCAAGGCCAGCAGGCTAACAGAAAAATCGTCTCAAGGGAAACGTGTGAGCTAGAAAAATAAGAGTATTTTAATTAAATAATAAAATGCCAACGTAATACAAAAGTATAGCTTCTGTGTGTTTGTGCCACTATATAGTTTGCATTTGCATACTTTTAAATTTCCAGAGAGAGTGAGTACCTTCATCTAAAATTTCTATCAGTAGCTAAATATTAAGCTTCTTGCAAGATAAAATATATATACGGTATGTCCTGCAATCCAGTTTTACTACTTCCTCAGAATGCTTTATTCTCCTTCCTTCCTTCTCTCTCCCTTCCGTAGTTGTTGTTTTTTAAGGACAGTTATTGTTTGTATTATTTGATTACTTCTTTCAGCCCCAAAGAAACAGTTGCTTACTTTGGAAGAAATTACCCCTTTTTACCCCTTTCAAACTTTACGTATTTTAAAGAGAGAAGAGCCACGTAGCTTTTTTTTTTTTCTCTTCCCTAATTTATCGTGACCATTACTTTCTTAGCAGCAGAGAGAAACTGTGTGAGGTTTTTTGAAATGGATTGGGGTAGGTGAGTTCAGCTACTTTGCTTAATTAAGCATAGCAAAATATAAACAGTCCAAGTCATTAAATAGAACCTCGTCTTGAAAAGTACACATACTTAGTATTAATGTTTCCTCAGAGCTGGCATTCCAGTGCCTTTGTGCATCTGTTCATTTTTTGCAAGTTTTGATTCTCCAGCCTACTCAGATATTCTATCCATTCTATCCAGATTAGTAGCAAGAGATTTGCGAAGTGAGACATGAGACTGCTTTGGTCAAGAACTATGGGCTTGCATGTGTTCTCAAATATAATTCATCCCTGTTTTCTGGAAGGAATTGCCCAGGAAAAGAAACTTACAGCTTTTTCAGAGCAACGGAAAGCTTTGGAATGTGCCCGTTGAAATGCTTGGAGCAGATAGCTTTGGCAGCGAACAATGTAATGCTGTGTGGCTTTAGTGTAAAGCTTTCAATTCCTGTGGAAGGTTTGCTCTGTTGTATCTGGTTTCTAAGGATCAAAAGAAAGGAGGAGAAGTTTGGTGACATGCTTCCTTTCTGCAGGTAGAATAAGCTGTAATTTAGGGGAGTGGGGAGCTGTTTTTTTATTGGTTGTGGTTTGGGGGCTGGTTTGGACGGTAGCTGATTGTCATTTCTGCAGGTTTTTTTTTTATTCTTTCTTTTTCCTTTTAAAAAAAGGAGGAGTATTTATCAGATTAATTCAGATCGGATTAAAACTGTCACTTATATTTCTTGAATGTGTGAAAGAAAAAAAGAAAAGAAAAGAAAAGTGAGAGCCTCATTTCTCCATTCGTGATTTTATAGAACCAGCCTATTAAACGATTTGTGGCATTTGAAATTCATTAAAATAAAAGGGCTGTTTCCACAATAAGCGTCATCTGCAATAAAGGATTATGGGCAGTATATTTTCATATTTTAAATTACTTTGCTTTCATTGTAGCTTCATGTATTCCTTCGTGCTGCTCCTCTGCACCATTTTCATAAGATGTTACTCATTTATTGAGCTAACTTATAATTCCTTTTGTTTCCGGACATGTGTTGTTGTAAATATACTTGAGGATAAGTGCCTCCCATAATTCCCAGCAAAAGTAAGTCATTCTGTGAAACAAGTATTGTTACCTAGGTGAAGGAGATTTATCTTCTGAATGATAGCTTTGTCTGTAAGGTCCTGATTTTAGCCAAGTAGCTTCTTAGACAGTCTTTCTACAACCGCCTCCTAATCTTCTATCTTATGTACACGCTACTTTCCCTTGTGTAACAGCAGCGTACAATATTCCTTTTTCTAAAAGAATTGTATTCCTCTACTTCTTTATGTCAGTCCATATTGTCCTATATCTACTCCCACTATTAAACTATTTTATCTAGTTACTGAATGTTGTGCCATTTATCATAGCTGATACATTGATACTCTCTCTCTCTCTCTCTCTCTCTCTCTCTCTCTCTCTCTCTCTCTCCACTCTTTCTCTTTTCTCCCACTCCCTCCCTCCCCCTTCTCTCTCCTGGTCTCTGATACTGCTGTTTTCTGATGTTTGTGAAATCTTAATGACTTTACAACCTGCTCAGTAAACACATGGCAATCGATAGTTGCCATTCCTAGTATCCAAATTGTTCATAACTTCTTTTTTCCACAATGAGATGATAGTGTCAGTTAAAGTTCAACAGTGTATAACTGATCCCTGAAACAGATGTTTGAGGAAACAATCTTTTCCGTGGCACCAACTTAGTTCTGATTGTCCTCAAAATAAGGAAGCGGCTGGATATTTTTCAACGCTGTTAATTTACATTGGAGAGAAGCTCATATTCAAACATTCCTGGAAAATGGCCAAGGGGCAAAATAATAATAATCTAAGAATAGGGATCACCTGCTGCAAAATATAGAAAACAAGATGTTAGCCAAATAGTCAGGTCATATAAAGCCCAGCCATTAAAGTAAGCTACTACAAAATTAAAATTGATGGGAAATAAGTTCCCATCAATAAATACAAAGTTCCTTAAAACAGATCTGATTTTCTAAAATTGGGCCTCACTGACTTACATTGGCACGTGGGTCAAATTCAGTCAGTGATGATTTGGCTTTTAGAAGGTAGCCTAATATCATTTTTAACAAATAAAATAAGTCTACATTCCATTTTTAATCTCTGTTGAATCAAATAAAGGGTTCTCTCTGTTTGAATTTTGCCTGAGCATGATCCAACAAAATGTCCTCAGAAGGGCCACAAACATGGCATTAAGAAAATAATTCTAGTGTTTATTCCTCAGTGAATGATATCCAAATGTGACAGTGGAGATCATTTAGCTACCATGATAAACTTAAAGCCTATGATTTTTTTTTTCTAATTTACTTTTAACTGTATCTTTGCTGGTACCATCACCACAACACAATTCCCTGGTTACTGAAAAAGGGATTCCATGCCTTTCAGTTCCAGGATGGCTTATAAGAATATTTTGAAACTGTCAGAATAATTCAGTAAGATTCACACATAGAAAGAGAAACAGACAGACACACAAACAGAGAGAGGGAGGGAGAGAGGGAGGAGAGGGAGAAGGAGAGAGAGAAGAGCATAAAGTGGAAACCAAATTAAAAGTAAATTCATCAGTACAATAGTAAGTAAAAGCTCCACACCTATTAAGACATAATGGAAACCAGACTCACACCTAACTTAGCAACCATAATTGAGCCTGTAATTTTGGTAATAAGTCATTGCAGTCATTAAGTGGGCCACCACATGACCTAACTTGATTTTATGACCATTTTTATGATGATCAGAAATGAGTTACATGGTTGCTAACCACTTTGGTCATTAAGCAAATCGATTCTCCCGAATGGGTAGTTTTTGAAGAAACTGACAAGAATTCTATAAATCAGCAAAAAATGTTGCAAACCAACATGACTTTGGGAGGCTGTAACCAGTCATACATTTGAGCCTGTTGCCAAGCTCCAAAATGTGACATAGGGAGAGGATAGGTCAGTCATAACTTCAGTGACAGATTAAGTAACTTTTGGGGGAGTCAGTTGTAAACTTTGAATGATTGTTAAGTGAGGTCTATAGAGGCAGAGCTTATATTAGAACTTCCCCATTCATTTCTGAGCTTGTGTGTTTGTTGTCCATCAGCTAGCTAGCATGAAGTGAAAAAAGGGAGATCTCTCGAGAATATGTCCAAATCCTGTGTTGTCCTAATATAATAACAGAAGTATCCAAGAGTGGGAACGAGGGACTGGGAAACAAGTTATGACAGCTTCATTGCATACAATGCAAGTCTCAGCATTTTGTGCAAGTGTGTGACATGATCAGAGTGAAGCCTATCCTTTTGGAAAAAAGAAAAACCCAGCATACCCTACAGAAGTCCATGTGCAGGGATTTCAAGAGAAGTTAAAACAAGATGGTTAACAAAATCAAGAAATGTAAAAACAAACAAACAAACCCAGAAGTATCACTTTTCTGGAAATAGCCATTGCAATAGAAAGAAAACTACCATTCTTCTCATTCCCATCCAGTCATATCACAGGAACTCAGAGAGTCCAGAAAGGTATTTTCAAGGCCATCGTGGTTACCACTGTTGACTGCTGCTTAATAAGTGTTTTTCCCCTTCCCTTTCCTCCCCCATAATACTAAGACCACTTCAATGCATCAATGCTAATAGGATTCAGACATAAATCTATGTATGTAATTGTTGCTATCCAATAAAGTTGCGTAGTAGTCATACATTACAAGATATGCGACAAAAATCCAACTTGGCCTTCTTTTGAAATGACATCACATTGTTTTGTGCAAACCTGTTTGGTTTTTATCGGTTCCAGATATTTCCAAAAGCTGAACTCTAGATTTAACTAAAAGAGTTCAATTTCTATGCTCCATTTCCGGCAATGTACAGATAGTCCATGAAACTCCATGCAGTGGAACTATCCGTTATGGTTGTAACAGTGGTAAAATCAGGTCACCGATGCCACCAACCCAATTTTATGAATGGTGGTCTTTACACTTTA